CAGCAACATACCCTGGTTCACAGCAATATGCTCAGGTTCACAGCAACATACTCTGGTTCACAGCAATATACTCTGATTCACAGCAACATACCCTGGCTCACAGCAATATACCCTGGCTCACAGCAACATACCCTGATTCACAGCAACATACCTTGACTCACAGCAGCATACAGTAATTCACAGCAACATACCCTGACTCACAATAACATACCCTGGTTCACAGCAACATAACCTGGCTCACGGCAACATACCCTGGTTCACAGCAACATAGCCTGCTCACAGCAACATGCCCTGGTTCACAGCAACATACCCAGGCTCACAGCAACATACCCTGACTCACAGCAACATACCCTGACTTACAGCAACATACCCTGACTCAGCAACATACCCTGTCTCACAGCAAAATACCCAGACTCACAGCAACATACCCTGACTCACAGCAACATACCCTGGTTCACAGCAACATATCCAGGCTCACAGCAACATACCCTGGTTCACAGCAACATACCCAGGCTCACAGCAACATACCCTGACTCACAGCAACATACCCTGACTCACAGCTACATATTCTGACTTACAGCAACATACCCTGACTCGTAACAACATACCCTGTCTCACAGCAAAATACCCAGACTCACAGCAACATACCCTGACTCACAGCAACATACCCTAGTTCACAGCAACATATCCAGGCTCACAGCAACATACCCTGGTTCACAGCAACATACCCAGGCTCATAGCAACATACCCTGGCTCACAACAACATACCCTGGTTCATAGCAATATACCCAGGCTCACAGCAGCATACCCTGGTTCACAGCAACATACCCTGGGTGAAAGTAACATACCCTGGTTCACAAGAACATAGCCTGGCTCACAGCATCATACCCAAATTCATCAGCAACTTACCCAGTCTCACAGAAACATACCCAGGCTAGGCAACATACCTTGGCTCGCAGCAACATTCCCTTGTTCACGGCAACATACCTTGACTCACAGCAACATACCCTGGTTCACAGCAATATGCCCAGGTTCACAGCAAAATACCTTGTCTCAGCAACATACTCTGGTTCACAGCAACATACTCTGGTTCACAACAACATACCCTGGCTCACAGCAACATACCCTGACTCACAGCAACATACAATAACTCACAGCAACATACCCTGACTCTCAATAACATACAATGGTTCACAGCAACATAACCTGGCTCATGGCAACATACCCTGGTTCACAGCAACATACCCAGACTCACAGGAACATACCCTCATTCACAGCAACATACCCTGACTCACAGCAACATACCCTGACTTACAGCAACATACCCAGACTCACAGCAACATACCCTGACTCACAGCAACATACGCTGACTCACTGCAACATACCCAGGCTCACATCATTATACCCTGGTTCACAGTAACATACCCTGGTTCACAGTAACATACCCTGGTTCAAAGTAACATTCCCAGGCTCACAGTAACATACCCAGGCTCACAGCAGCATACTCTGGCTCAAAGCTACATATCCAGGCTCACAGTAACATACCCAAGCTCACAGCAATATACTCAGGCTCACAGCATCATACCCAGGCTCAGAGCAACATTCTCAGGCTCACAGCAACATACGATGGTTGTTAACCCTTTCAGGGTCAATAGGCCCTCTCCCAGACTTGTTCTCAGGGTTGCCAAATTTTCAAAAAAAAAAAATTATTTTTTCTTATGAAAAGATAGAGAAACTTTTCCCGATCATAATGACACCAAAAGTATGAAATTTTATGGAAAACTTACGGAATTATGCTCTCGCGAAGTTAGTGGTCTCGACGATGTTTGCATATCAGCAATTTTGCCCAATTTGAGCCCTATTTTCGGCCAGTTCCAGTGTACTAGTCAACAAAAATCATAACTATTTAGCTAGAACTCCATTTTTTCTACCGAATGAGTACAAGAAACCACCCATTTACCGATATCAACTATCCAATAAAGTGGTCAGCATTTAGTAATTTTGCCAATTTTACACAAATTTCAAAAGATGCCACATGCCACGCTTGGCATGATTTGTTTACTTTTGAACTTGGGCAAAAATCGAAGATTTCTGCTAATTTGAGCTCAATTTCAAGGTACTTTTCATTGTAAAACCAATCAAAATTGTCTCAATTTCTGTAATATGTCTTCCATTCTATAAAATGAGACCAGGAAAGCTAGAATACCATCATAAATACCATACGAAAATACAGTGCAAAGTCGCTGTTTTAAACCAAAAACACTGTCAAAGTTTTTTTTTCTCATTACGCACTGTGTGCTGCAGGATTTTTTTTATACTGCACACACTGACCACATAGACCCATTCTTTCATATGTAGGCCTACCAGCTTTCTCTCACTAGATTTAAGGGCGCTAGAATTTAGGCGTACTAGTACATCAAAAACCCTGGTGCGTAAGCCGTACTAGTACGTCAGAAACCCTGAAAGGGTTAATATATTTATGGATGAAGTTGTAAGAGAAGTGAATGCTAGGGTGTTTGGGAGAGTTGTTGGATTAATTAAAAGATAAGGAATCTAATGCAAAGTGGGAGTTGACACAGTTTATTTTTTCCAGTAACCTGGTACTTGGCGATTATTTGTCTGATAACTTGACAAATAAAATTCACCATATTTTGGTGTTTTGTTGGTCCTCAACTTGTATATGTTTATAAGCATTTAGCATGGAGATATCAACAAGATGGAAAAAAAGTTTTATATACCACTTATAACTCTTGAGTACACAATCAGCAAACCCAATCTGCATGTCACATTTGTCCACTAAGTGCATATTGAGGTTGTAGTCCATGACAGCTGCAGGCTTTAGAATGGGTTCATTGGTCTCTGTTGTGCCTGCCAGTGTGTGCCATTTCGTTTCGGTGAACTGATGTCAACAGTGTGACATCACATTTGTCATGCCACCGAAATGCCATGATGTCATTGGCAGCAAAGGCTTGCACCTCACCTCTGCGAGTGCCAGCGTCGAACCTTGGCATATGTTTACAATTACCACGCACTGTGCCACACACGTCTGTCAAGTTCACTCGCAAGAAATCACTGAGTAAGGGGCTTGTGTACCAGTTATCAGTAAATAACATATGCCCCTTACCAAGATATGGTTCCATCATTGTTCTAACCACATCACCAGAGATACCCAATGACTTCATGGTATCTCTCAAAGTATTATTGCCAGTGTACACAATGATATCCAAAACTAGACCACTTCTGCAATCACACAGTACAAATAACTTTATACCAAAGCGTTTCCTTTTGCTTGGTATATATTGCTTGAAGAGAGTTTTCCCCTTTAAAACAAAATCAAAGACTGCAAAAACAAGTTTCCCTAAAGGGAAAAAATCATGCAACTTTTTTTTTTTAGACAAAACACTTTTCTGATTTTAAAAACCCTGTCGTTCTGTCAGGCCTGGTTTTGTCTGAAAAGTGTAACTTACATAACAGTATAAAGGGAACAATTGACCCTATATTGTCATTTAAAAACCTGGATTGAAATCAAGTTCGTTGCCCAGTATGTATGACGTGTGCTTATCCATGTGGCATAAGCTTATTGTGGCAAAAATACAGGGCATCTCTGCCCAGTTGTTTTTCTTCAGGGTGCCATGACATCTTGGTGAGAGATTGTATTTGCCATGGTGTACTCAAGTAGTTTTGGGTTTTCCCCTGACAATGATGTCCTCGGGGGTTATCGAAGAATAACTCAAAGCTTTCCCAGTTCCTAGCATTTTTCCCCCAAGTGGAATGATGGCTTTTTTCCCATTTTGTTTTTTCATCAAAGTATGGGGACTGGGAAAAACTCATCATTTTCCTCCCAAACCCCAGATCGGTCTGCTGGTGGGTTCTAAATATTGAAACTGGTTGTGGTTGTGCAGGTTGTGGCGTGCAGGTTTGGGTTGTGTAGGTTGTGGGGTGTGCAGTTGGGTGGGCTGGTTGTTGTTGTGCAGAGCGCGTGTGGGTTTTAGCATGCCCGCTGGGGTGCCACATGGGTCGTGCCACCATCACTATCACCACCACGCCGCTCCTCACTCACATCTTTACCCTCATAAAAAAATTCGTCATCCCACTATAGGTCGTGGTGTAGGGCCACAGGATGTGCCCCCAGAGTTCCCCTTCCCCTTGGAACAGCATATGAAACACCCCAGACCGCTGCTACGTCGTACGTACTCCCGCTTCACGGGAAAATATTCCCCTCACTGTCACAACTAGAATGCTTTCATAACCTTGAAATCACTACACTATCCTTACTACTAACATCTGGGTTTTGTACAGGGCCAAATAGTTTCCTCTTTATCTGGTACAGGTGAACTGAACATGAAAAAGCGGCCAGCCCCAGAGGGAAGGGTTTGTGGGTATCGGGGTTTTTTCCATCATAGTACAACCTGGGCACTTTTTTCAGTCCATCACTTGAAAAACCATGGAGTTCACGTCATGAACTTCCATCACTGTTAGAGCTATCACTTGGGGAAAAAAAGGACCCCAACCGCCAAGGAGTGGGTACTTCCTACTGCGAGGCTTGAAGGGATTACAAAATGGCGTTCCCAAAAAGCCCCCACGAGTCCCAGTTTTTTTACGGGGTGAAAACCCCCCCCAAAGACCCATTTTCTCTGTAAGCCTCCCGGGCCTTTCCCGCTTGTTTGAAGCCGCTAAAATTTATGCGTATAAGTACTCGAAACAGTGGTGGGTAAGACGTATATATACGGCGGGAAAAATCAAAAGGGTTTTCAAAAACAAGTGTATTGATGTATGTACTGCATGTGTTTTTGATGCTGTTGCATGGTATTGAGCTGTAATATTCCATTCCCGTGTATGCCAGTGTCCTGTGAAGTTTCTCCTACTTAAACTTTATTGCAACCATAGAGGGAATGCAGTAAATGCCGGTTTCCTTTTTTGTTGTTGTGGGTTTTTCTTGCTTAATTTTAAATGTTAGTGTAAAGATATTGATTCATCCCTTTTTTAACATTTGGAAAATTAGCAAGAATAGTACATGGAAGCAAAATAATGAATCGCCAAACCACATGGACACCTAACAGTTGTACAGCTCAGGGCAGCATGAGTGTAGAGCAGGTCGGTTCTGCCTCCACCTGGACACTCAACAGTTGCACAGTTCAGGGCAGCACAGGTGTGACAGGTTTTTCGCCTCCCCCGGACACCAACAGTTTTCACCCCTCGGCCAGCACAGGGGTTTTGAGCGGGTTCTTCTGTCCCCCGGGAAACCCAACAGTTACACAACTCAGGGCAGCACAGGTGTAGAGCAGGTCGCTTCTGCCTCCACCTGGACACCCAACAGTTACACAACTCAGGGCAGCACGGGTGTAAAGCAGGTCACTTCTGCCTCCACCTGGATACCCAACAGTTGCACAGCCCAGGGCAGCACGGGTGTAGAGCGGGTTGCTTCTGCCTCTCACAGCCCAGGGCAGCATGGGTGTAGAGCAGGTCACTTTTGCCTCTCACAACTACTGGACTACTGTGACATGGTCTTGGATGCACTGGAGGACAATCAAAATGGAGATGTAGTATGCACAGACTTTGCAAAAGCCTTTGATAAGTGCAATCATGGTGTAATAGCACACAAAATGTATGATAAAAGAATAACAGGAAAATTGGGTAGATGGATCTATTACTTCCTAACAGGTAGAACACAAAGAGTAATATTAACCAGATTAAAGTCAGTGGTGCCTACAGTGAAAAGTGATCTCTGCAATCCTTCCATTTATAGAATGGTCACTGATATTAGTAGACATTCTTTATTTGTTCGCCGCCCCTGTTTACTCCGTCCCTTCTCTATTCGCCTTCATTCGCTCTTGTCTTCTCTTCAGTTACCACCTTTCTATGTTCATGTAGCATCTCACTTTTCCCTACCCCCTGGGAAGTTCCAGCTGTTCGAGTCTGTTCTTTCTCTCTCCCTTGCTCGAAAGCCCAACTGTCTATGGTCGCTTCCCGCTCTCTTTTTCTTGACCACTTCCACTCTCATTCTCATGCCATTGCTGTGTACACAGATGGCTCTAAGTCTTCTGACGGCGTAGGATTTGCAGCAGTGTTTCTGGACAGCGTCGTACATGGGCATTTACTATCTTCGGCTAGTATTTTTACTGCTGAATTGTATGCCATCCTTGCAGCACTTATCCGTATTGCATCTATGCCTGTGTCATCATTTGTGGTTGTCTCAGACTCCCTTAGTGCTTTACAGGCTATACAGAAATTTGATACACCTCACCCCTTAGTCCTCCATATCCAACTTTGGCTACACCGCATCTTTACCAAGCATAAAGATATTGTTTTTTGTTGGGTCCCTGGTCATGTTGACGTACAGGGCAATGAACAGGCAGATACTGCTGCGCGGTCAGCAGTACATGACCTACCAATTTCATATAGAGGTATTCCATTTACGGACTATTTTGCTGCAATATCTTCCCACCTTCACACCCGTTGGCAACAACGTTGGTCTACTATGCTCGGCAACGAACTTCAATCTATTAAACCGAGTATAGGTTGCTTGCTGTCTTCTTATCACCAGTGTCGAGGTTGGGAGACTACTCTCTCCCGTCTTCGCATTGGCCATACTCGTCTTACTCATGGGTATCTCATGGAGAGAGGCGCCCTGCTCCTCTCTGTGAGAATTGCCAAGCTCCATTATCAGTCAGCCACATTCTGTTGGACTGCCCACTTTATCAACGAGCACGCAGAATTTACCTCCGTCGTTGCCTTCGCTCCGCTGCTCTCTCTTTACCTTCCCTTCTCGCTGATGGACCCACCTTTCATCCAGACTCTCTCATTGACTTTTTGACAACAACTGACTTACTTCACAAATTCTGATACCTTCAGCCCTTTCTACTTCAATCTCTTGCTACCCTCTACCCCCGTATTATCCCCTGCCCCGCTGTTTACTGTAACCTACTGATCATCCCTCCTCCCTTCTGCCACCCAATACCCTCGCTTCCTTCCCTACCCTGCAGCGCTTTATAGCCCTTGTGGCTTAGCGCTTCTTTTTTATTATAATAATAATACAGTGAAAAGCTCTATTCCACAAGATACAGTACTCGCTCTCAGCCTCTTCCTCTTCCTCATATCTGACATAGACAGAGATGTAAGCCACAACACCATGTCTTCCTTTGCTGACAATGCCAGAATTTGCATGACAGTGTCATTCATTAAGGACACTGCAAATCCCCAAGCAGGCATTAATAGTCTTTAAATGGGTATCAGAAAACAATATGAAGTGCAATGAGGACAAATTTCAATTACTCTGCTATGGAAAACTTTTTTATTATTATTATCACACCGGCCGATTCCCACCAAGGCAGGGTGGCCCGAAAAAGAAAAACTTTCACCATCATTCACTCCATCACTGTCTTGCCAGAAGGGTGCTTTACACTACAGTTTTTAAACTGCAACATTAACACCCCTCCTTCAGAGTGCAGGCACTGTACTTCCCATCTCCAGGACTCAAGTCCGGCCTGCCGGTTTCCCTGAATCCCTTCATAAATGTTACTTTGCTCACACTCCAACAGCACGTCAAGTATTAAAAACCATTTGTCTCCATTCATCCTATCAAACACGCTCAGCATGCCTGCTGGAAGTCCAAGCCCCTCGCACACAAAACCCCCTTTACCCCTCCCTCCAACCCTTCCTAGGCCGACCCCTACCCCGCCTTCCTTCCACTACAGACTGATACACTCTTGAAGTCATTCTGTTTCGCTCCATTCTCTCTACATGTCCGAACCACCTCAACAACCCTTCCTCAGCCCTCTGGACAACAGTTTTGGTAATCCCGCACCTCCTCCTAACTTCCAAAACTACGAATTCTCTGCATTATATTCACACCACACATTGCCCTCAGACATGACATCTCCACTGCCTCCAGCCTTCTCCTCGCTGCAACATTCATCACCCACGCTTCACACCCATATAAGAGCGTTGGTAAAAACTATACTCTCATACATTCCCCTCTTTGCCTCCAAGGACAAAGTTCTTTGTCTCCACAGACTCCTAAGTGCACCACTCACTCTTTTTCCCTCATCAATTCTATGATTCACCTCATCTTTCATAGACCCATCCGCTGACACGTCCACTCCCAAATATCTGAATACATTCACCTCCTCCATACTCTCTCCCTCCAATCTGATATTCAATCTTTCATCACCTAATCTTTTTGTTATCCTCATAACCTTACTCTTTCCTGTATTCACCTTTAATTTTCTTCTTTTGCACACCCTACCAAATTCATCCACCAATCTCTGCAACTTCTCTTCAGAATCTCCCAAGAGCACAGTGTCATCAGCAAAGAGCAGCTGTGACAACTCCCACTTTGTGTGTGATTCTTTATCTTTTAACTCCACGCCTCTTGCCAAGACCCTCGCATTTACTTCTCTTACAACCCCATCTATAAATATTTAAACAACCACGGTGACATCACACATCCTTGTCTAAGGCCTACTTTTACTGGGAAAAAATTTCCTTCTTTCCTACATACTCTAACTTGAGCCTCACTATCCTCGTAAAAACTCTTCACTGCTTTCAGTAACTACCTCCTACCCATACACTTGCAACATCTGCCACATTGCCCCCTATCCACCCTGTCATATGCCTTTTCCAAATCCATAAATGCCACAAAGACCTCTTTAGCCTTATCTAAATACTGTTCACTTATATGTTTCACTGTAAACACCTGGTCCACACACCCCTACCTTTCCTAAAGCCTCCTTGTTCATCTGCTATCCTATTCTCCGTCTTACTCTTAATTCTTTCAATTATAACTCTACCATACACTTTACCAGGTACACTCAACAGACTTATCCCCTATAATTTTTGCACTCTCTTTTATCCCCTTTGCCTTTATACAAAGGAACTATGCATGCTCTCTGCCAATCCCTTTAGGTACCTTACCCTCTTCCATACATTATTAAATAATTGCACCAACCACTCCAAAACTATATCCCCACCTGCTTTTAACATTTCTATCTTTATCCCATCAATCCGGCTGCCTTACCCCCTTTCATTTTGCCTACTGCCTCACGAACTTCCCCCACACTCACAACTGGCTCTTCCTCACTCCTACAAGATGTTATTCCTCCTTGCCCTATACACGAAATCACAGCTTCCCTATCTTCATCAACATTTAACAATTCCTCAAAATATTCCTTCCATCTTCCCAATACCTCTAACTCTCCATTTAATAACTCTCCTCTCCTATTTTTAACTGACAAATCCATTTGTTCTCTAGGCTTTCTTAACTTGTTAATCTCACTCCAAAACTTTTTCTTATTTTCAACAAAATTTGTTGATAACATCTCACCCACTCTCTCATTTGCTCTCTTTTTACATTGCTTCACCACTCTCTTAACTTCTCTCTTTTTCTCCATATACTCTTCCCTCCTTGCATCACTTCTACTTTGTAAAAACTTCTCATATGCTAACTTTTTCTCCCTTACTACTCTCTTTACATCATCATTCCACCAATCGCTCCTCTTCCCTCCTGCACCCACTTTCCTGTAACCACAAACTTCTGCTGAACACTCTAACACTACATTTTTAAACCTACCCCATACTCTTCGACCCCATTGCCTATGCTCTCATTAGCCCATCTATCCTCCAATAGCTGTTTATATCTTACCCTAACTGCCTCCTCTTTTAGTTTATAAACCTTCACCTCTCTCTTCCCTGATGCTTCTATTCTCCTTGTATCCCATCTACCTTTTACTCTCAGTGTAGCTACAACTAGAAAGTGATCTGATATATCTGTGGCCCCTCTATAAACATGTACATCCTGAAGTCTACTCAACAGTCTTTTATCTACCAATACATAATCCAACAAACTACTGTCATTTCGCCCTACATCATATCGTGTATACTTATTTATCCTCTTTTTCTTAAAATATGTATTACCTATAACTAAACCCCTTTCTATACAAAGTTCAATCAAAGGGCTCCCATTATCATTTACACCTGGCACCCCAAACTTACCTACCACACCCTCTCTAAAAGTTTCTCCTACTTTAGCATTCAAGTCCCCTACCACAATTACTCTCTCACTTGGTTCAAAGGCTCCTATACATTCACTTAACATCTCCCAAAATCTCTCTCTCTCCTCTGCATTCCTCTCTTCTCCAGGTGCATACACGCTTATTATGACCACTTCTCGCATCCAACCTTGACTTTAATCCACATAATTCTTGAATTTACACATTCATATTCTCTTTTCTCCTTCCATAACTGATCATTTAACTTTTACTGCTACCCCTTCCTTTGCTCTAACTCTCTCAGATACTCCAGATTTAATCCCATTTATTTCCCCCCACTGAAACTCTCTACCCCTTCAGCTTTGTTTCGCTTAGGGCCAGGACATCCAACTTCTTTTCATTCATAACATCAGCAATCATCTGTTTCTTGTCATCCGCACTACATCCACGCACATTTAAGCAACCCAGTTTTATAAAGTTTTTCTTCTTCTCTTTTTTAGTAATTGTATACAGGAGAAGGGGTTACTAGCCATTGCTCCCGGCATTTTAGTCGCCTCATACGACACGCATGGCTTACGGAGGAAAGATTCTTTTCCACTTCCCCATGGACAATAGAAGAAATAAAAAAGAACAAGAGCTATTTAGAAAAAGGAGAAAAACCTAGATGTATGTATATATATATATGCATGTGCGTGTCTGTGAAGTGTGACCAAAGTGTAAGTAGGAGTAGCAAGATATCCCTGTTATCTTAGCGTGTTTATGAGACAGAAAAAGAAACCAGCAATCCTACCATCATGCAAAACAGTTACAGGTTTTTGTTTCACAGTCATCTGGCAGGACGGTAGTACTTCCCTGGGTGGTTGCTGTCTACCAACCTACTACCTAAAAAACTTGAGGAAAACTTGAGGAAATAAAAACTGGATCAGAGTATAAAACAAATTCCAGCCACACAATAAAGCAAAAATGTGAAGGACCCTTGAGTGATTATGTCAGAGAATCTCACTTTCAAAGATCACAACAAGGTCTCTACCACATCTGCTAGGAAAATGATATGATGAATAATAAGAGCCTTTAAAACTAGGAAGACCAAGCCCATGATGATTCTTTTCAAGTCACTTGTTCCCTCTAGGCTGGAGTATTGCTGTACAGTAATGGCCCCTTTCAAGGCAAGCAAAATTGAAGACCTGGAGAATATACAGAGAACTTTCACTGCACGTATTAGTACAATAAAGCGCCTAAATTATTGGGAACAATTGAAGTCCTTTGACCTGTACTCCATGGAAAGCAGGCGAGAAAGATACATGATAACATACACTTGGAGAATCCTAGAGGGAGTAGTCCCAAATCTACACATGGAAATCACTCCTATCTAGGCTGGAATATTGCTGCACACAAACAGTACCTTTCAAGGCAGGTGAAATTACTGACCTAGAAAATGTACAGAGAACCTTCACGGCACGCATAACGGAGATAAAACACCTCAATTACTGGGAGCGCTTGAGGTTCCTGAACCTGTATTCCCTGGAACACAGGTGGGAGAGATACATGATTATATACACCTGGAAAATCCTAGAGGGACTAGTACCGAACTTGCACACAAAAATCACTCGCTACGAAAGCAAAAGACTTGGCAGACAATGCAACATCCCCCCAATGAAAAGCAGGGGTGTCACTAGCAGGTTAACAGACCATACAATAAGTGTCAGGGGCCCGAGACTGTTCAACTGCCTCCCAGCATACATAAGGGATTACCAATAGACCACTGGCAGTCTTCAAGCTGGCACTGGACAAGCACCTAAAGTCGGTTCCTGACCAGCCGGGCTGTGGCTCGTACGTTGGTTTGCGTGCAGCCAACAGTAACAGCCTGGTTGATCAGGCTCTGATCCACCAGGAGGCCTGGTCACAGACCGGGCCACGGGGGCGTTGACCCCCGGAACTCTCTGCAGGTAATGCAGAGTATAACGTCCCCACAATAAAAAGCAGTGACACCATAAGTACACTAAGAAACAATGCAGTAAGTGTCAGGGGCCCAAGACTGTTCAACTGCCTCCCAGCATACATAAGACCCATACAATAGACCCCTGGCTGTCTTCAAGAAGGCACTGGACAAGCACCTAAAGTCAGTACCTGACCAGCTGGACTGTAGTTCATATGTCGGTTTGCGTGCAGCCAGCAGTAATGGCCTGGTTGATCAGGTCCTGATCCACCAAGAGGCCTGGTCACAGACTGGGCTGAGGTGGTGTTGGGCCCCAGAAACACCCTCCAGGTATAGTGTATTTATTTGGTTCTGGCATTTTTGATGATTTTGGATGGTCTCTGCACTTTTGAATGAAATATGTGAGAAAATGAGAGTTTGCAGAAAATTCCTTTAATAATTTGGCGCTCCTCGTCAAGAAACTTACAGCTGTAGATGTTGGCGCTCTGAGAAGGAACCCTGTGACTACCCGTCTTGGTCTTGACCAAAAATGGATAAGGTAGTGTTGATTGGTGGGCTTGTGATAGATCTTTGATTTTAAAAGTGTCTGCTTTGCATTGTCATTTATAAAATTTTCCATATGGCAATAATGTGTCTTATTTCT